CCCCCCCCCCCCCCCGCCCCTGCAGCAGGAAGTTTCCTCATAAAGACTGGAACATGAGGTCCATGGGGCCTGGGGCAGTGCTGACCTGGCTTCTGTGGGCGCCTTGTTGTGACCTCATCTGCAGCTGGGGAAACTGAGGCAGGCAGTGCAGTCTGACCACGGGGTCCCCGCCCAGCCCGCGCAGCACCGTCCTGTGGGCGGAAAGGCCCCCGTGTGGACCCCAGCACCCAGCAGACCGGCGTCCGGCTCAGCTCTGAGGGCCGTGAGGACCTCAAGGACACGTGGCCCTGTGGCCTGTCCCTTGCCAGGCGCTCCTTGGTGGGAACAGGCCACACCGCGGGCACATTTCTGCCAGGGCACCCGGGGCCCCTCCTCTGCCGTCAACAGGTCCCCAAGAGGGGGGGTGGCGGCCAAGTCCGTTTTGAAGGGAAGCAGTGTTGCTGAGCTGGGGGCAGCAGAGGGGACCCCTAGCACCGTCCTACCCAGGGTGCTCCACTCCTGGGCAACACGGTGGCCCATCCAGGTGGAAAGGGCAGAGAATGAGAGGGCACAGAAAATGTGGGGTTGCCATCTTGGTGCGACCGACAGGCCACCCCGTCCTTCCCACAGCCTCAGACTGCCCACACCGTCCCTGTGTGGGACGGGCTGTGTTAAATCACGAGGGGAACCGGGGGGCATACGTGTCCCCACATCTACGCCGGAGCCGGTGGCAGACATCACTAGTCAATCACGGCTCTCTTCTCCCGAGGCTTGGGGACACCCCCTCCCCTGCCCCCCAAGAGGTCCACATGGACTTTCAGCCTGAGCCTAGAGGGAGACCATCTCTGACACCCTTCCTATCTCGGCCCCCGAGGGCCCTCAGAGGAGGGATTCGGGTCCCTTCTGCCCTGGCAGAGCCTGTCCCTGCCCCACCTGGGTGCTTCCTCTCCACCGGCCACAGCCTCGCCGGGCTGCTCGTGCAACCTCCCTGAGGACTGTTTGCTCACAGCTAGAAGACGGGTACTCAGCAAGCACTCAATGAATGCTTCCTGCATCCACGCACGCCTGGCCCAAGTGCACGGCGTCCCCTCACCGAGACCGTGCCCGCCGACCCTCGCTGACGCACAGACACGCGGCCCCACGACCCCGCCCCCGCCACC